CAAACAACTAAGCGACTATACAACTAACCAACCAACAATCAACCAACACTTTTTAAAGTCTGCAACGTGTTGCGTGTATACAATCAACATATACAAATTTCACCGTCAACGCAACAATTGATTATTAACATATGTTAATAAACAATTGTTGCGTTGACGGTGAAATTTTTATATCTTGATTTTATATTAACCAACTAACAAACCAACCAATCGACCAACCTACCAACCAAGAAACCAAAACACATACCGACCAATCAACCACCAGACCGACCGCTAGAATTACCGACGAATCGATCAACCAACCTGACATTTGATACTTCGGAAGAACAGACTTAATTTCGCAATACCCAACTGGAAACGAGTTAAGTAGCTGAACCATTAATCAAAGTTTGCTGCAAACAGAAGCCATCCATTATTCTACTATTTAAATCTGTATACACTGCCCGCCAATTAAAATTATGTGACATGCAAATTAAATGCATACTCTGGTGTGTGACGTCAATCAAACAAAACGCAAATATGCAATCAGATGAAACCAGTTCAAGCGAGTGGGAGCCAGCTCAGTGTATTTATATATCAGCCATGCGCAAACCGCGGATCAGCTAAGTCATGCAGTTAATCTTATGGCTAGAGAAGACATCTTCTGAGTTCTGTGTCCAGCCAGCCACTAATCTCTGGCGAACACCCGTCGCAGTGAGAGATTTCCTGGCAATCATCTTTGTTACTCTCAACAGTAACCGTATCGCCAAGTAACTCACCTCCTTGATCGTTAAACGGAAAATATAAGCGACATTATACGACGCTAACAGTCGGTATAGCGACTGGCTACGGACTGGAAGACAGAGGAGTCGGTGTTCGAGTCCCAGTAGTTTCAAAAATTTTCTTTTCCCCACGCCGTCCAGACCGGCTCTGGGGCCCACCCAGCCTCCTATACAACGGGTACCTGGGGCTTTTCCAAGGGGGTAAAGCGGAAGGGGCGTGAAGCTGACCACTCAATTCCAGGTAGTGCCGAGGTCAAGAAAATGTGGATTTATGCATCCATTCCCCATACGCCTTAACGGCGTAGCGCTTAATTAGTTAAGCACAGGGACAACTTAACCTTACATTTTATTTATACGACGCAAACAGCCAGCAACATGCTCTGAAATCATCAAGACGTCACCACTCTTTCATCTGCAAAACTATCGAACTACATGCAGCGCGGCTAACGGATCTGTTGCCCTGGAAAACATGTGAATCACGGATGGAGATTCCATTTCCATCCCTGCTTTTGGGAAGAAGCTCTTCCCACATATACGTCCAGCTCCTCTGGGAAATATCCCTTGTAACAGGAAACATAGTGAACATTACTGCGTACCTTGTATGCGCTATCTTTCCATTTGCGGGACACCGGACACGATTCCCTGAAGTCATCTGGGCGGACTCATTGCGTTTATACATACGGACCACATCTGGGTTGCTTCACAGGGTCTTATGAAATAGGCCACGGTCATTTCCTTCGATCCCTTCTACATTACTGAACTATACTGGATGTGTATTAGGCACCCCGTCGATAGTCACATCCCTATAATTATTATTATTATTATTATTATTATGCTAGATGCGCAGCAGCTGCTAATGCTGTCTGCAGGGATGTTGACGTATTCGGAGCCAGGAATGCTATGCCCAAACAAATTTTAAATACAGTGTAACTGTTAGTATTTTTATTATTTGCATGTTCAGTAAAACAAAATGAATTACGTATATTATTATTATCCTCTGAAAATCTATACTATTCATTTCTTAATTAAATATTTATGTTTCATTCCTCAATTCGTAATAACACTTAGTTTAATGATAATGAAATTATTATTATTATTATTGTTGTTGTTGTTGTTGTTGGAGGGGGGTGGGTTTCCCCATGCACCGCGACCAGTTTGATCTATTGTACGTCCCCCTGTGATATTCTACCAGTCTCTATACCTTACAGGTACTGGTGCGTGCCATCAGTCCCGACTCAGCCAGCAAGTTCGGCCTCTACTGGCTCAGCGGTATCTAGATGCTTTCCACATCTACCAGAGGCGTTAGAGACTATTGTTGGGCGGGAAATGTCCTTACAAATTTGACTCAGAGGTCTTCTTGAGACATGAGGTTCTTTTACGTGCCGAAGTCCCTCCCGAAGGACTTGTTCCCTGAATTTTTCCGCCCTTAAAAATTCCACGACCTCCGCCGGGTTTGAACCCTCGTACCTTGAGTCATGATGTGCGAACGTTACCCCTAGACTACGGAGGCCGCTTAGTCACATCCCTAAATCGTGACGCTATGTTGGAGGGTAACGTCATAACTGGAACAAGGGAAGCTTTATTCCTAATCTCATGGAAGTGTACTTCTGAAATGTTATTTCTCTTTGAACGCATCCCAGACGCGATATAACGGAATTCGGCATGAAAATGGTAGGGACGAAAACCTGCATAGCGTACCATATGCGTACCACACACACACACACGCCGATAACGAATAGAATTTTACATTATGCCTTTACACTGAATTTCATCACTTTCTCCGCTTTCCTCCCACTATACATGTTCAACTGTCAATAAAAGTCACTCACCACTGGTGACACTGATTTGATCAGAAACACATCTTCCGCATCTAGAGGCAAAAAAAAAAAGTGGGAAACTCACCACCGCCTTCACCGTACTTTACACGGTGTCGTCTCCTGACAAGGACCGCGCAGATGTGAAGCAGTTCACCGTGTTCGGTTGAGTGTGCACAGCAAGTTCGCTTCGGACACCGATAGTTCTGACTGAAAATCATCGTGGTATTCCTCAGTCCCTCGGGAAGAATCCGATACAGTATCTAAAATTGGCCACGGCTACTTCCTTCTACATGCTTTGAAATCCGTTATTCATAATACGTATCGCATAGCGAGTTGACGGGCAGTACCGCTCTCTACTTGTATTAGGCAGGAGACGGGTTTGAATCTCACGGGGAAGGCCGCATATTCTGACTCGGGATTTTCGTTCTTTCCTGTTTCCGGGAGAGTGCCTCGATCAGATCACGAGTGATTCTTTCCAAATCCTTCCAGCTCGTCATTCACCTACCGTCCCACCACTCGACTCTTCATAGACGTAAAATGCACTACACAGAAACTCTTATTATTATCTNTACAATGAATGTAAAGGAGTATAAGAGAGGCTGGAGAAGCCGGGATAGCGCAGTCGGTATAGCGACTGGATACGGACTGGACGACCGAGGGGTCGGAGTTCGAGTGCCGGTAGGTTCAAGTATTTTCTTTTCTCCATAGAGTTCAGACCGGCTCTGAGGCCCGCCCAGCCTCCTATCCAATGGGTACCGGGGGCTCTTTCCCCGGGAGTAAAGCCGTCGGAGTTTGTACCTGACCACTCACCTCCAGCTACTGCCGAGGTGAAGAAAACGTGGATCTATACATCCAGTCTGCCGTACGTCTTCATGGAGCAGTGAGCTAAGGACAAGGAAAATATTTCACTGTGAGGGTGTCTGAAGGAATCGCATATGCTGTCACACAGAGGGGATAAAAAGGTAAAGCTATCCCTGTAACAGGCCGTGAAGTCCCATAGGGCCACTCTAGATAATTGGCTCGCAGATCACAGTGAGGTTGTCAGCTTCATGCAGTGCCCGTCCTTTATCCCCAGGAAGGTTCCTGGTACTCATTTCTGTTAGAGGTTCAGTCCACCCCAGAGCCATAGTACGGCTGGAAGGGTTAGGTCAATTAAAACATCCAGCAACCTCACCGGGAATTGATCCACGACCTTCAGGCTTGTAGCACAGTGCCTCAACCAACAACGCTACCGCGTGTCATAGGGGATTGTGTTTGAAACAAAACGTACAATTACTTGACACATGCCAGCATAGCGGCCAAGAAATTAGCCATTCATGGGACCTGAAAGTTCAGGAACATTTGCATAAGACCTCGTCCCTGTATTATATCCCGAACCCTGTCGAAAACAACCCTCACCCTCACAGCCTGCGTATTTAAAATCGCAAACGTCTCCCAAGTGGCCTCATCATTTGGTGAACAATTATAAATGTATACATTCCCAGCAGAGCCCATCTCAATCTGATTAGCCTAGCCACGTGGTTAAGAATACACATGATGGTACTACTCAACATGCTAATGTAGCTCTTTACATCCATCTATGGCTTATTCCCCGCCAGGAAGAAATATCCTTCTCAGAACCGTGTTCTCAAACGGCTTTGGTCTATGTTCTTTCCTTAGGGTAAGAGGCGTAGTCTCGAAGCTATCTAAAACTGCGGGTAAAATTATTGTTTTCCTGCTTGTCTGGCTTACTATTCGGTAAACGTGTACCAGACCACATAACACCATATAATAGAAGACAGTGAAGTAAAATTATCCCTGGAATTAATTAATCAAGCAACAAGGCACAAGGGAATGGAAGTATAGCTCCAACATTCTTAACTTCGTCATCAGAAGGTAGTGAGTGGTCAGCTTCATGCCCCTACCGCTTTACAGTCCTGCGTACTCTCTTCATAAATCCTTAAATGTCACCGTTATTTATCATCATCATCGGGAAAACAGTCCTCTTTCAAACACATCCTTCCTTACAAGTTTCTGCCAGTTTTGTAGACAGTCCGGGTTTCACTTCTTTGGACTTAGCAACAATATAACTTCGGCTAACTTCGGATCCGCTCGGCTAACTTCGGCTCCGCTCGGCACGTCACCGCTGGGTGGGGGGAGGGAGGATGTTGACCTGCCTATTACCATTGCGCAACACGTCACAATAAATAAATAAATATATATATATATATATATACCCCCCACAGAGCTCGGTCGTCAGCCTTGTCTCCAGCCGCAACCTGGAGGACCAGGTCTGTATTTACGTCCCACCAGTGACAGGGTAGCCCAGTCATACCCCCAGGCCCTAAGACTCGCAGGGCAACGGTGGAGGTATTCTAACCCGCCTCCATGTGGGAAACTATTATTTATGGACTTAACATCCAGTCAGCGTTGCTGCTCTTACCTGCGCCTCCCGCACAAGATTCTCATGATGTTCCACGCTACGTCCCACGGATCTCTTCGCCACGCTGTGGTGCTCGAAATGGTACCAGTCAGGGAAAATCTGCGAAAGGAAGAAAAAACATTTCAATGTGAGATTTCAAGTTCTCATGGCGATGACTACGATAAAAGGCTTCTGTGATGTTTCGGAGAAACATCCCACGTCCGTTTTTAGGGCTGAAAGAGGAGCGTGACACCGTGCAGTCTGGCAGTGCACCATGGTTCAGGAGGACTCATGTCTGAAGTCCCGCTTCGAAAACGCGGAAACATTTCCGGCACGTTCCTATGGCGACGACCATGGTGTTACTGAACACTTGTTCGATGAGACGGCGAAGGTTTAAAAGCATAATTATTACAGAAGCTCTCACATGAATACATAATTTCAATTATTATGGAGTATTACACAGCTTATTTTTAGATTATTAAGCAAATATTACAGCCAATTAATTCCGTGTGCTATATTAACGAAGCGACCGCATCTGATCGATTGAAATTTTCCGTACGCAGCAGGGACCGCTCATTGGAGCTACAGTGAAACAAGACACAAAATGCGAGCCGGAGGCTATTCATGTAGGGGAGAAAACACTTCTCGGACCTAGGCGTAGGTGCCGGATAATATTAAAACTGGTCTTGAAGAAATAAGCTGTCAAGAATCAAGCTGGCACAGGACAGGATGCAGTGGCGGAATGTTGTGAANGTGGTTGGGGGGGGGGGGGGGGGGTTCTTTACTGAGACAGTGTCCTTTTACTGTGAAAAGTTCTATGGAGTTCGTTCGTTAGGAAGATACTTGGTTAGTTAGCCATTCAGATGGTCATGGTAAAAAGGTAAAGCTATCCCTGTACAAGACCGCGGAGGCCCATAGGGTTGTGAGGCGTTGAGGGTCCCATATGTTCTAGACAGTCGGCTCACAGAAGGTAGCAAGATTGTCAGCTTTACGCGCCGGCCGCCTTTTAGTCCCAGGAAGATTCGTGGCACTCATCTGTGTTAGAGGCTGATCAACACCAGGGAGGCTGGTAGGATCAGGACAGATAAAAAATTCAACCTCATCGGGAATCGAACCCGTGACCTTCCTGAACCAACTACGTTAGAACAGAGTGGTTGCACTAAATCCGCAACAGTGTTCGACCTCTCTAATTTGAGAAGCGCGAGCTGGATTCTGTCTTGAGGCATGGATGGTATAGGCCTCGTGTCGAGGAGTTCCTTGTTCTAGTAGCCTTAGCAGATAATCAGTTAGTTGCTCAGCCAATCATATGGAAGAACACCGAGCAGGTTAGTGTAACAATAATGTGTTGGGTTTGTATTCGGAGTTTTTTCAGTAAGAATGCTGGCACGGTTATGGGCACTCTATAGTTCTTCTTCAGACGCTACTGGTAAATTCCGGAATAGTACTCGATTAGGTCACAACTGCTTCCTTCCAAATGTTTTCCAATTCATTACTCACCAATAATCATAATATTCGAATATGTATAGTTTAAAACAGCGTTTCACAAATGGTGTTAAGCTAGAAAATTCATTTACGATAAAATAAATGATAAATTGCAACAACAAAAAAATGCTTCATTTCTCGAATACGATATGAATTTCAGTTTCTGTATCTAAATATACGCAGTTAAATAACGTGCTCATTTCATATTCTTGTTTGAAATTTGTTTACTCATTTATGGTCTTGCTTTTCAGCTTAATTTTATTTTTTCGACTTTTCGACACTTTTCGACAGCGAAGCGGCTCCACAACTAGATTTAACTGGGAAGCACTGGCCTCAGATATTGACAGCGAAGTAAAATAATCAATCCACAACACCGGAAAACGATTACAGTGGTCGCGCTGTCTGAATACCGCGCAACTGAGAGATCAAGTCTCTCTCGAGGCGTGAATGACACAGACCTTACGATGGACTGATTCTGAGTGCACGAACTGCTACCAATGTGTAAGTTATCACGGATTATTCAACGACGCTTTCCGTGATGAGTTGTGATGGCCCAATATTTACGGATTTCCTGTTTCGGAATTTATTTTCAATTTAACGAGGCCAGAGTCTGTGGAAGTATCAGCAGGGACATCGTCTGATACAAGCGGAGGAAGCAAAACCTGCAAAACCTACATTTTGAAATTTACTATAAGTGGACGCTTTAATGTCTCGAAGAGGTTACGTAAGGTATAGCTTTCCGCAAGTTCTGAACAGTTCTCGGCTGTTAGCTACCAACGATAAGGAAACGAAATGTTCCTTCCAATCCTGTGTAGTCACGGTTGCTCCCAGAGGCGACACTCAAAGCAGGGGATTTCCCTGAGAACAAGACGAACGAGCTGAAGTGTATGGGGTCAGGTCAGCGTGCAAAATGGCACGGGTTGGAATTTTCTGTACACAGACACGTACATCTCGTTGCCTTTCCTTGCTCTTATCTCTAGCGTGACCAGCTCCGAGACAAAGTGCGAGTTAATGATTTCATGCTAAAATATTACTGCACTTTATAGCTCGTGTGAACTTTCAAGGCGTTTATCTGCCATCGTCAGGCTTGCAAACCTGAAGTGCCTAATATTTGTGTCAGCTTGTGTGGACTTTCAAGGCGTTTATCTGCTATCGTCAGGCTTGCAAACCTGAAGTGCCTAATATCTGTGTCAGCTTGTGTGGACTTTTAGCCGTCATAGTCCAGTACAGAATTCACTGGTAGCGGAACCGAAACGGCGAAGTTGCTATGGCAACGGGTTCTGAGCATGACGGCCGCGGAATCGGGCTTCGATACCCAGCAGGAGTATTTTTCCTTTCTCCATAGCGTTCAAACCGGGTCTGAGTCCTTGATTTTCTTAAAAAATGGAAATGTATCAGCGTAACTGCCACTTATTTACTTACTTACTCATGGAGCTGAGCCCTTCTTGAGGAGAAGCCAAATCTGCAGCAATTCAAGAATTTCCCAGCATTTTATAGAACCCGAAGGTACATTACCGTCTTCACGAGAGCCCTCCACTGATCCCTGTCCTCAGCCAGATCAATATAAATCATAACATCCCATCCTATCTCTCTAAGATCCATTTTAATATTGTCCACCCACCTTCGACTTTGAAGCGTAACTGACAATAAGCAACGTAAAATATAAGTCAGTTTACGTAAAACAAATTAAAGGTATCCCTGTAACAGGCCGTGGAGGCCCATAGGGTTGTGAGATGTTGAGGTTCCCACATTTTCTAGACAATCGGCTCATAGATGGCGGCAAGGTTGTCAGCTTTACGCGCCGGCCGCCCTTTGCCACCAAGAATATTCCTGGTACTCATTTCTGTTGGAGGTTAACACCGCTCTTTTCCTCTCGCCTTTACTTGTATCGGCGCAGACGGAATGGTGCTATCCCTGCTAGACCTGTTTCTACCTTAGGACAGTGTATGATGGCCACTGCAAGTTGTTCTCACAGATCAAACTAAGGAAGATCGGTATAGGTACGGGAAACTAGCTGGGTCGGTTTGCATGAGTCTCAGGGTAGCGATGCCGCAGAAAGCGTTTTTCTGAGAGTTGAGCCAATTGACGTTTATTTACCTGCTAATTCACCACACTGTTAAATTAATGTATTCTTGTGCTGTATGTTACAGCATTACTATCGGCAGGCTATGTTTCGGAGCGTGCAAGGTCACGTCCGTTCAGTTCGGAATATTGTGAAAGTCTCCTTTTGTGGAATGGCTTGCACCCCCACGCCGGGAATTCGAAAGATGGTGTTTTCATATACATTTCATCCCATCTTCCGTGGGAAGCTTGAACGAGGCAACCCAATCATACTGGCCCTCATTCACAGGCAATTGTAACAAGCTCTGACCTGTCCTTTTAGGCGCGTCCGGTTCCCTGTACCCGAGCTAAATTTTATGACTGATCATAAATGTCATAACTCCGGATTTCTTGTTTCTGCCAAAATCTAGGAATTTCAACATAAACACCGTATTTCAAGTCCCAGACAATGAAATACGATATTAAAGATCACGATACATTTCCAGTAATATCGAAACATAAGACTTTTGAAATTTAAAATTACCGAGAATTAATTAGAAATAAATTTCATGGTCATCCAAATAAATAAGGGCTCAGAATGATCAGCGTCAAGGTTAAGTCGAACCTAGGGCCATAGTGCGGCTGCAAGGAATAGGTCAATTGAAAAAAAAATCCAATGACCTCATTGGAACTTGAAACCGCGAACTTCCGGCTTGTAGCATAGTGCCTCAATCAACTACGGTACCGCGTTTACGTAGTGACTTAATAAAGAGTCAAAATGACTTCGGGTTAGACAAGTAACAGCTATAGAGAGGTCATTAATACATCAAAAGCTAGTTTGTAATTAGTTCTTTTGTTCAACAAGTCTTTCTCACTTTGCAGAATGACACATGGACGGACGAGGAAGGGGAGGCGACATGCTGTATATTAAGATGATGTACATTAATTGCCTGCCTTACTCTTCGACCGGGCCGCGCCATAGCTCAAGCGGTTAGTCGCTGGCTTCCCACCGCGGCGGCCCAGGTTCGATCCCGGCTCTGGTCAAGTGGGTTTTGTGGTGAAGAAAGTGGCTCTAGGGCAGATTTTCTCCAAGTACTTCGGTTTCCCCCGCCAATCTTCATTCCACCAATTGCTCCACAATCACCCTCACCTATCATCTGGGGCTGGTACAATAGGCCAGAAGTGGCCGCAGTACAAGGGACTTAGTCCACCCCACTAGCAATAAAAAAAAACCTCTTCAACCGTGAAAATGGAGACAGTACATTCCTCTGAAAGACAAATGAGCTCCCGTACTAAACGGAGTAATATTCCATCCCCCCCCCCCAAATACTAGTACTTTACACATTTGCCGCTGCGAGAACCTCAAATTCGACACGTCTGAACCCTTCCAACGTCCAACACGTCTAGCGCAGCCTTATGTAAACAACAAAAAGAAAACAAATTTATTGCGGTCACTTGTCAATCCCGTGCCTGAAATCGATATAACCGTTTTACTGCCGACACGGCGCGGCACGAGCTAATAGCAGAGGGCCTCAATCTGCAACATTCATTCGCAGAAGAATTCCTACGCGACCACCCACCCACCCGGAATGTCGCCA